AATATTTCATGACAGCAAAAATAGTGATTTCGACAACACTGTACATAATGTACGTTCATTTAGGAAATTCATGCAAAGGTTCCACAAATAATGTAATTGTAGGTCAATCAAAAAGTAATCATTTAAATCCGTTTTCCACGAGACAAAATTCTACTGGCTACATATTTTTTTTATATACAAAAGTTGCTTTCTGATTTCTTTTTTTTTTTGACATGTTAAATGACTATTTTTGTTCCTGATTGAATACTATAGTAGAATGTAGGACAGTAAGTCACAGGACAAAAAGTCACGGACAAAAAGTCACAGACGAAAAGTCACAATTCAGTTTTGAGATTATTTTTCTCTGAACAAGAAAACACTAATTTTAAAAATAATTTTTTGATTTTTTATTGAACTATAATATATGAAGCAACTTTGTAATTAAAAATTTATTCAATAAATATCAATGATGATCAAATAATTGTTATGATAACAAAATGTCAAAGTGGTTTGGCACTTAAATGGCTTCATGGTGCCAAGAAATATATTATTTGCATGATTAAAATTTAATAATTTTTCATTTATCAAGGCTTATGAACAATTTCCTGAACTTAAAAATGAATAAATGTAAAAAAATATATTATTTGAAGATCTTTCTCTTATATAATCAAACAATTGTCAATACATTATTTGTGACTTTTTGTCCTATCAAATTTGTGACTTTATGTCCTGTGACTTTCTGTCCGTTTACCCTATTCATAGTATAGCCCAGTGTTTCTGTTAAAATAAAGTTCTGGTCATGGTTAAAATAATGTCAGAATTTGTTTAGTTGTAAAAACAATTACCAAGTAACAATCCACTTAGAACTTCACCTCCGGCAAAATTCAGGTGATCGGAGGGCAATAAATTTGCGTAATCGCACACCTGTGAATCCACAGTCACAACTCTAAGGAAATAATGACCGGAAAATCGGACACACATAATTTCACTGTGTAATTTAGAAGCAAACTTTAGCAAAGAAATGTTTCTTGTAATATCATGATCATCATGATCATTACCAGATTTTACTTTTTAAATAAAAAGAAATGCCGAAAAAAAGAAAAAAATATTTTCTCAATCAAATACATTAAAAAAATATTATTATATAATATATTATTTCAAGTAGTTTTTTAGAAAAAGAATTTATTTGATCTGAAATAAGTTTTCCTATTACTTTTCTTGATTAGCTATCGAGGTTATTCATCCCTGACTTGTCTACATGTTGTAGAATAATTATCGACGAGAATCTCATTCCGGGCCGCGTTTTTTAACGGGATTTCACGGAGTTGCCAATCTCTGTGTATATATGTCTCTGATATAAGACTATGAAGAATCAGAGACATACATGTACATGTCTCTGGAAGAAGTGAGAATAAAGAAAAAACTAAATAAAGAATATTTAATTATTTATTTATTATTTAATCTATAACTTATTCACTTATTTTACATTTTGTTCTATTCAGAATTAAATACAAGACTGTTTGCTGAGGGGGTGGTGCCGCGGAATTATGGAAAATTGACAAACGAGGATTACTCTTATCAAGGATTTGTATATTATTACTATACAAATCCTAGCTCTAATCAGAGAAGAACTAAAGGTTAAACAGTAACTCAATAATAAATAAAATATAAACATAGGAATGCTCTTGGTTACAGAATTGGCTTTAGGAGTCTATCAGTCTTGGCGGAGACTTAAGGAGGGGGGGGGGGGGGTCACTTATGTATTCATTTAAGTGCATTCGAAATTTTACTAATCGGACAGACCTTCAGTTAAGAATCCGTGTCAAGTTCTTTTGTAATCATGATTATTAGGAAACATCTTATAAGTTTTCCTACTGCCTCCTTGGTTTACTCTATACAAGGTTCTACACAAGTATTATAATAGCCAGTGCTACATTATCACCCTGATCGATCCTTGAAATGGCTAAATTTTGGACTTGATCTATTGGTCCAAGGTTAAACAATATATTTTGTTTTATAATTCTCAACTTATGAACTTTGCTTGCAAATACTTTAATCACTATCTCCTATATTCAACGAAAAGCTCACCAGATCTTAGGGACGAGTCGACATCAAAAGTTCAATGTAGGATAATTCACTGCCCCCCCCCCCCCTTTTTCACTTAATTTGGGAAAAATTGATTTGATATATATGTAAAATTGATGTTGGATAAACAAAACTTGCAGCAATTTTTACCCACCCACCCCACCCCCAAACTATTTGATTTAAGTTTTTTTTTATCCTACATCGATCTTATGATGTCGTCAGTCCCTTATGTTATCATGTTTGTCAAAATGTCGAATCAAATCAAAATTTTACTTACTAAATTTGCAATTATACTAAGACGTAGGTTTCCACATGTTGAGCAGCCACGGGAAGTTCCGAACTGTTCACTACTATCTCTACTTGAGTTCATTCATGTATTTTGGATGTTCATGTTGCACAAAGAGGCGAATTTAGTGCACCCTGCCCCTCCCCTTTTTGTGGGAAAAATTTGATTGATTGTATAGGGATTATCACTTAAGCATGCAGAGGTGGATTTAGAGGGGGCCGGGGGGGATTTGGTTGATTATATAGGAAATCACTGAAGCATGACCAGAGCGGGACCCTCAGTTAGGCAGTCAGTGGGCCCCACTTATGAAAATATCTGGATCCGCCACTGCCATGACTTGTGAGGCCTGCTTTTTAACAGTCAGTGCCCCCACCCCCTTTATGAAAATTTCTGGATCAGTCAGTTTATGTGTAATGGTAAGTGATTGTTGTTTTATCTTTTATTCTCTGGCTTTTCTCGTTTAATTAGATTTTTGGTTATAAATTAATTTAATTGGTATCCTCTTTCAATTTCATCATTAACAATAGACCTACACCAAAAGGCCCTGTACTGTAATTTTCTATCTTGCCCAAAAATACTTTAAATAGTACTGTTTTCACAAATGCTTGCTTGAAACACAACTTAATAAAATAGAAGCACTGCAGGTAATTTGCTTTTATTCCACACCAAAGGAGAATGAATGTATGGTAAAGTTATAATGTTACCGGCATTATTCTACATATATTCTGAGACTATTATAACACTATGTTATAGTCTGAGGTTATAGTAGTCTCAGATGCATTGTATAAGGGCTTTAATATAAGGGCGGGTATAAGGGACGAAGTAACACCATGTGACTATTGCATTGGTTGTCGTGATTTAAACACGATAAGAGTGTTTCCTTCCCCCTAAATCTTATGATCCTCATTCAGTCATTGAACAGGATAGAAACTATTTCAGACATCAAACAATCTGAAACTTTTCAAGTACTTTCTATATGCTCATGTGCAATTTCTTGTTAGCATAGTTTTGTACTTGGACAGATAATCAGAATGATCAACAATCAAGTATTGACAACAGTCAGGTCTATTTTCATCGGTCTCATTTGAAGAAACCAGGTATGCGGTAATTTTAATTCAGCCTTGTACAATATATATATACATCCAGTCATTTTTACTCAAGCGTTACAAATAAGGTTAAATGTTAGATTTTTATATTCTTTTAACTGCATTCATGGCAATTAATCAGCCATCCATCATTAGTTGTTTGTGGGAAAGACACCAAGCACTCTTTGTATAATTCAACTTATATCATGAATATTGTGAGGACAAGCTTTTAAAAATAAAATCTTTTAAAAACTATAAATATTTTTTTTCAATTACATTTATTTCTTCATTAGGCCAACTGAAATAACATGTGTGTTTCCTATTACATCTTTGAAAAAAATAGGATAGGTAGGGGATTTTTCTTATTTTACAATTTTTTTTTACATTGAGTCTATGGGCTGATGGGAGAGAAATTCTGACTTTAACAGTGCTTATTGATAAATCAAAAAAACTTTAGGGTAGGCTATTTCTAAGCTTGAAATATAGGGTAGTTGCGGAAATAAGAAACACACATATTTTTTTATTTGACCTTACATACAGGAAAAAGATATTTTTTTTAATTAACATTGTTTTATTTTTATATAATTTCACTTACAAGTTGACTCCTTTTCTAGATTTTTTTTGGAAGATATGTTTTAAAATGGTTGATGGAAAAGTACAACCATATCTTAAATTAAATAAATGGATGTTCATGATGAACATCAAGAAGCAATGAAAAAATTCAGTGTTTAGAAACTCACTATCTTTTTTATTATATGAAAGAATGAGAAAACTGTTGAATCATCGTGACTGTTGTTAAGAAGCTTTCCATTTAATTTTGTTAATTACTACCTGGGAACAGTCATGACAGTTTATCAGTATATATGTTCCTGTTACTATACACTTTTCATTAAATTGCTATATTTAACCCTTTTCTCTATAATGACGCCTCTGTGTTGTAGTGCATCAATTGAAACGTTTTCATGTACAGTTAACATTGCATTAAAGTACACGTATTTTCTGCATTTCATTGAAAAATCCTATGCAAATGAAGTATATAAAAAAAAAATGCTCTGGAGAAAAGGATTATAAATCAGTCATTGACATTGTCAGTTAATTATTTTAATATTTCATACTTTTAATTAAATCATGTGGTCTTTTTGGAAAAAAATCACTTCATATGTATTCATATTATGCAAATATTAAAAGTTATAGGCTTGAAGCAGAGATTCACTATACACATGTATGTCTGGCATGCAGAATGTTGAAAGCAAGTTAAGAATTTTACTTTATGCATGTATTAGCTGTCGTGCATATATCATGCATGGTACTTTTACATCTTTGAATAAGATATAGCCGTAATACGGATGTTGCAGAAACGTCCGTAATACGTATGTTTAAGAAACGTCCGTGAAACGGAAAATCCGTTTTACATCAGTTTTTACACGTACGTTTTACGGATGTATTTTTACAGACGTTTTACGGACGTAACCGTATCATCCGTAATACATCCGTATTACGGATGTTTTACGGACGTTTATTACCACATCCGTGAAACGTCCGTAGCTATTTTACCTGTGTATATAGTCTCCTAGTGTTCTATCTAAAATTTGTTTCTGATGCAATACATACAAGGTTTTTGGCATAGAACTTTCTGTCAAACAGTGACTTGTTGTTTAACAAGTTGAATATTGATGATAACTCTGATTTAAAATCTTTTTTAACATTCAACATGAATATTCAAGAGTAAATCAACAATAATCATAAGTATTTCAGTGCTTGTCTTTGGTTCATATTTTGCTTTCATATATTAACTTGTTAAAATAAGGCTCTTAGTTTTCTCTATTTGTCATATCCAAACCTTTTCATAGCACACTATATAGTTCGGTTTTTTTCATTGTTGGAGGACATATGGTGACCTATAATTGCTCACTATCACATCATTTGAACTCTGGTGGATATTTTTCTCATTGGCAATTCAACCAAATTTCCTTACTTTTATATGATCTTTTAATTATATATCAAGAGTAATTGATCTCAAGAGTAATTGTGAATATTGTATTGTTTCCTTTTTACAGTTTTGAATGTATCTGTTTTCTTAAAACTTTCTTAGAACAAACATAATCTTTAATCTTCTTCAAAGTTCAAAATTTTATTTCCAAGGATTTTTATTCACATTCTAATTTCTTTACTTTAAAAGTCCATGAATGTCAAAATAAATGTCTTCTTTGTAAATTTAAATGTTGTATTTTTTGTAAAATTCCCATATTTGTGAGGTAGTCTTCTATGTCCTGTATTCATGGTATTGGTTATTCTTCACCATGTTCACTGTGAATGGTAACTGAAATAAAATATTCATAAATAATATAAATTTAACTTCCATGAAGTAATGTTATAATAATTAATAGTCTAATACACTTAAGAGGTCCCAAACCGCCTACAAATTATATGCCTATGACATATTGTGAGTTTTAGCATGTTAAAATAAATTGCTTTGCCGATTGCAGCTGGATAGGACCGCAGAGGTCCAACCCTGAACAGTTGGGGCAAAAATGGACACAATATTCGCACTTGATACAGGTCTGAATTTGGATTGTTATTAAATATTTGACAAATAATCGGTTTCTGACACAGAATAAATGTAGTCAAAGAACTAGAATTGGTTATATGATTTGAATTTATATTCATTTTTTGCTTTTGTGCAGTACACTATGCTGTTGCGAATTTTTTTAATTTCGGACGATGATGTGATTTTTCTCGCCTTACTTAATTTATATCAAAATATAAAATATGTGATAAAATTGCTACGACTTCGTAAATCACAAAACATAAGGTTGTGAGACTTATTGAGTTTGATCAGTTTCTTATTATTTTGCCTCAGTAATTGGTGGTTTATTTTGTTGGTTTCGACTTTGCGTGATTGCAATAAAGATATTTTGATAATCATTCATAACCGTTAACTTGTTTAACCATTTTTTTTTCAAGCAGTAAAGCATCGAAACCTAATTGTTGGCAGCAATTTAATTTCCTAAAAATTGGAGGAAAGCCAAATGTTTATCAAGTGCCTGTGCTTTTGGCTATTTCTGTGGTTGACATGTGATTTTTGGCGGTTGTATAAAAACTGCTGTCATGTCCATGTTTATTGTATTTTTTGTTGTAAGGTTGCTGTCAAACTAATGTAAGCCTTTCCTTTTACTTTCCTTTTATGAAATCTTAAAACAAAGTTGTGTGTGTACTCATATATCAATGTGCAGAAACAGTATCAATAGATTAATCAAACAATGAAGGAATTTTGATCAAACTACCATAGCCGTAACTTGGAAGAGCCTCTATTAAATACAAGCTGTAGGTTGAACCAGTATTTACAAAATTGTCAAAGCATGTTAAGCGTACAACTCATAGGTAACCAGTACCTCAACAAGACTTAGAGTGCACATGCTGACCATTTATTTTATGTTGAAATTCTTTAAGATAAAGGTAAAATTACTAAAAGTATCACAAAATCTTAACACTTTACAGATCTTTGACCATGAGGTGAAGGTCGGATAAATCCTATCAGACAGACATCTACACCAAACGATTTTTTTATACACCAAATATAGTTGACCTATTATTTAAGCTTGTAGTACTTGAAAATCAGCAAAAATACAAAAACTTAACATTGATAAATGAAATGAGGTCATACCCAAGATCAGATGAAACCTGCCAGACTGACTTGCCAGACTGATATACATGTACAGTTGACCTACTGCTTATAGGATTTGAGAAATGGACCTTGTCACTGATCAAAAAAGTGAAGAAGAAGTCAGGTGAACCCTTCTAACAGACATGTAGATGTTGCAAGGAACCCATATACCAAATATAGTTATAATATCCTATAACTCATACATGTCATAAGTGAGAAATTCACATGACAAAAGAACTATATATTTTTTTCAAGCAGTTATTGAACCATGAAAATGAGGTCGAGGACAATGGACATATGACAGACAGAATCTTTGTAACATAAGCCTCTGCAAACAAGATATGAAGTCCAGGGGTTGAAGTCATAAAACTTTGCTCAGTGCTCGGAGCACAAAAATCCTGCTCGAAACATGAAATCAAACATTTTGATTGGTTGATTTTGGAGTATGAGTACAAAAATCCGACTCAAAAGTTTTATGACTTCAAGGCCAGGTCTTCTACCTTCTGAAATATAAAGCTTTATACAAATTGTTGACAATGCCGCCAAGAATAGAAATACTTATGGCTATGTTTTGACAAAAAAACATTCTGATCAAAAAACAAAATTGAAAGTGTGAAATAGCATTATATTATATAAATAATAATGTCCTTTGGTCTTTTAAATGAATCATTGAGGATCATACCTCATCTTTTTATATTTATATGCTGGTTGAGCCTGGTTCATTGAAAAAGCTCCAAGGTTTATCCATGTACATAGTCTGATTGTTATATGTTTGCAAATTCATTCTGATAATGCAAAATCATTAATTGGTTGATTTTTCTTGCTTATTTTAATGTCCAGTGGCAAATATTTTATGTATTCTAAATGATAACAACTTATCAGTTCATAATATAGGCCAGTCTGACTAGGTACACAGCTACTTTAGTACAAGTAATATTGATGTACAGTTCTCAAGATGCATATCGAATGTACATCTGTAAAGCTGTATATTAACTGTACAGCTATAAAGTTTCATTTAATTTGGACCATTTTTCGGTTTTTCACATTTTTGCCATTTCCATGGTAACGGCAGCCATCTTGAAAATTCCAAACCCAAAGTGCACATCTGCACATGGGGATTGTCATTATGGAGCAGTTTTATCAATGTATGTCAAGTCATCTCCGAGAACTAAGCTGGACAAAAAGTGTGGAAGAATAATTCGTAGAATAACAATATGTCCCCCCTTTTATCAAAGGGGTGACATAATAATATGCAAAAGTTGATTGTTCAAAAGCGAATTAAAGGTATTTTCTTTCATAAATTGATCGGAAAAGATATGTGGACTGGTTGATTGATGGTTTGTGATCATGATTGATCAATTAATCGATTGATTGATCGATCGTTTGATTGATCGACAGTTTGTAAAAGGTGAGGGGACGTTTTTTTTTCGAATTCTGCACTTGATTAATTACTTGTTTGATATCAAAACTTGATTGATTGATCTCTTATCATGATTTGATCACTTTAATCATGATTTGATTGATTGATCAATACTTTGTATAGCCTAAAATGACACATTTTGCATTGGTTATTCCTTGTCTATACGTTTTGTACTGTTCAGTGTCAAATATCTAACGCACAATTTTACACGTAAGATTGAGAAATATACTCTATTTCCTCTTCTTACATCAGAAAAAAATGAATGGCGATTAAGGTTATTCTAACACTAGATTTGCTATTGCAAGCAATAGCGGAGGATGTCACCCCGTACTGGACATTGTCAAGTAGTAGCAATCATTTTGAGTGTACCAAAGTCAAATGGCACATCTATTATACATGCCTTTGATTCTGATTCCCCCCTCCCCCCCCCCCCCCCCCTTTTTCTCTTCTTGTAGAATAAGATTGATGTCTATATCACAGCTACTTTAGTACAAGTAATCTTGATGTACAGTTCTCAAGATGCATATCGAATGTACATCTGTAAAGCTGTATATTAACTGTACAGCTATAAAGCTGTATATAAACTGTACATCTGTAAAGCTGTATATCAACTGTACAGCTGTAAAGCTGTATATAAACTGTACATCTGTAAAGCTGTATATCAACTGTACAGCTGTTAAGCTGTATATAAACTGTACATCTGTAAAACTGTTTGTAAACTGTAGAGTTGATATACAGCTTTACAGCTGTACAGTTTATATACAGCTTTACAGATGTACATTCGATATGCATCTTTAGAACTGTACGTCAAGATTACTTGTACTATTGTAGCTGTGTAAGTTTGAAATGTAAATGCTATGATAGTTTGAACTTCTGACATCTCAAGTGTGTGTGTATGGAGCAGTAGAAGGGGCAAAGTAAGGATGCCTTGATGCATACATTACATGGGAAAGTGAGAAAAATAAGCAACAGTGTACATGTACAGATATACTTGAAACAGTTTAAGGTAGATAACATCAAATTATTTAAATTAACTGCAATTCTACAGATGAACTTACTTTGATATCAGTTCTTTTTTGCAGGACATTCACACCTACATGACATACATGTTCACCAGTGATATCAATCATTGTCAATACTGTACTTTCCTTTCATTTGGTAACAAGCTAAAATTGTATATATAAATAATTTAATCAAGAAGTCCAGACAAAAACTACATGTAGTATGAATTGATGCTCACTAATTTATACCTTTACTATATACTTTTACTTTTGAGTGACTTGAAACAAAATGTAAGCAAACAACAGAAAGAAGATCAACAGTTAAGCTTATAAAAAATTAATATAAATGTATGTGCAGATTTTAATAAAAGAAAAACCTTTCAATGTACCTTGGCAATGGATAAATTTTCTGTCAAAAAGCAAAAATATTTCAATAAACGGTTTCCCAAGCAAAGCTGGAAACGAACCCTGAACAGTTGGGGTAAAAATGAACACAATATTCAAGTTTGATATAGGTCTGAATTTGGATTGTAATCAAATATTTGACACATTATAGGGGGAAATTTCTGGATCCGCCACTGGGTATTGAACCTTTAGATTAAAGAGTACCATACACTTAAACTAAAGTTTTTTGTCCAGAAACCAAATGTCTTTAAAGGACAACAATGTGATAGCAGTATACTGTGTAGCAGTATACGACCCCATATTGTGGTTGTATAAAAAAATTGTTTGTTCTTTTAAACTTTTTCATAATTCATCTACAAGAAATGTAGGCCTGTTTGGGATTGCTTGCAATGCAATTTTCCTATAAATTCAACCTTATATAGTAATGCCGGATTTTGATTGGTTGGTAACCAGAGTATTTTTCGTACATTCTTATCCTTTTTACTCTATTTCTGTACTAAAAATCTTTAGTACCGGACATTTACTTTTAATATTTAGTACTACTTCTTTACTTAAAAATTATTGTAATATTTAGGTACGGTACCAGTATTTTACAGTACTTGTTTTGTACTAAAAATTTTGGTACAGAAATAATACCCACAGTGATCATAATATTCCATGTTTGAAAATCATAACTTTAAGAGATTTGAAATAGACAAACTATCAAAATGCTGAAAATGTAACGGTGTAATAACATGAATGAATAAATGTGGATAGTGTCCACATGTGGACACAGATGATGCCCCCACTTGCATACCATATAGTTATAAAGGGACATAACTGAAGAATGGAAAAAGTGACGCTACCCAAATTTGAACTTGATCTGAGTTTTGTGGTAATAAGCATTGTGTGTAAGTCTCATAACATTTGGTTGAAGCTAACTTAAGTAGAAAACAGAAACTAAAAATTTAGCAATTTTTCTATTTGTAAACATGCATAACTCTAACGTGAGTGTGTATAAGTTTTACAACATTTGGTTGAGACAAACTACAAAAAATCAGCAATTTTTATGTTTATAAAAGGACATAACTCTAGAATGATAAAAGTGTTGCCACCTAATTTCGTACTTAATCTGTATTATGTAGTAATAAGCATTGTGTATAAGTTTCATAACATTTGGTTGAGGCAAACTCAAGTTAGAGAACGGAAACAAAAAAATTGTACTTGATCTCTACTGAGTTTTGTGGTAATGAATATTGTGTAAAGGTTTCATAATGTTTGGCTGGGGAAAACTTCAGTTACACAATGGAAACTAAAAATTTTGCAATCTTTCGATTTATAAAGGGGCATAACTCAATAATGGTTAAAGTGACACTACCCAAATTAAACTTGATCTGTGTTTTATCAGTGGAAGTCAAAATTAAACATTGCATTGTATAAAGCATTGATTGTAGTTGATTAAACTATAATCATGGTCAAAGGAAGATAACTCCAATTTTAAAAATATATTATAAACTTGATATTTAGAAGAAAATAAAAATTTTGCAATTTTTCCATTTATAAAGGGGCATAACTCTAGATCGGTTAAAGTGATGCCACCAAAATTCAAACTTGATCTGTGTTTTGTGGTAATAAGCATTGTGTATAAGTTTCATAACATTTGGTTGAGGCAAACTTAAGTTAGAGAACGGAAACTAAAAATTTTGCAATATTTTCTTTTATAAAGGGGCATAACTCTAGATCGGTTAAAGTGACCCCACCAAAATTCAAACTTGATTTGTGTTTTGTGGTAATAAGCATTGTGTATACCTTTCATAATATTTGGTTGAGGCAAACTAAAGTTAGAGAACGGAAACTAAAAATTTTGCAATATTTCCTTTTATAAAGGGGCATAACTCTAGATCGGTTATAGTGACGCCACCAAAATTCAAACTTGATCTGTGTTTTGTGGTAATAAGCATTGTGTATAAGTTTCATAACATTTGGTTGAGGCAAACTCAAGTTGGAGAACGGAAACCAATTTCGGGACGTATGGACGGACGGACGTACGTACAGACGGACAAGGGTAAAACTTAATGCCCCCTCCGCTAAGGTGGGGGCATAAAAACTGTAGTACTTAAATTTCAAGTACAAATCAAGTACTGTAAAATACAGGAACTTAATATCATGATAATTTTAAAGTAACAAAATGGTACTAAATATTAAAAGTAGATTTCCAGTACTACATAATTTTGGTACAGAAATAGTAGCTATGCAAAAGTAGCTGTGTAACCAATGTCAAGTTCTTTGACTACATTTATTCAGAAAACTATAATGTGTCAAATATTAATTTAAAACCAAATTCAGACCTGTATCAAGGAATCAGAAACTTGTCAACATTTAAGTTAAGTACTAAGGAGTATTATTACTACAACTGCACAATATTAATGACTTTACCATAAGTTATTTCTTAGTTTCCTTAAACTGACCTCATCACGAATATCAACAAATTGTTTACGGTTTTGTAAATAAAATAATTTGTCACTTCTAACATGGATAATTTTCGACTTGCCCACAACAAGAATCAAAACTTTGAACTCTATGACCTCAAACTTTAAAAAAATTTGGAGACTACATGAACATGATGTACCGAGTCTGACAAGAAAAAAATATTCAAATAAAGTCATCATTTTAATAACATACCTCTCATCACAAAATTATTCATTGACTACTGCTCCTCTGTGCTCATATGCACATAAATCAATATGACAATCTATGAATCCACTATATAATCTAGACATCAATGACCCAAATGAATTCTGTTCTGTTGCTTAGCTTCTCCTACTTCTCAAAGTACTTGTACTTTCATTGAAAATGCTAAAAGAAATAATGGTTAATGAAATGAAGTTATAATATCTGCCAAAATTGCCTTTAATATTTGATCCGGCAAAATTGGCTTAGTTTGATCTTTTAAAACTAGACCAACAAACAACCCTGAAAAAATAGAGGCTTCCAAGAGCCTCAGTCACTCACCAGTATCCACTGTGGTTTTGGAAATCATGTAAAATAACGTTTAAATCATAATAAATAGTATTAGATACCCCAATAATGATTGTGGCCAAGTTTGGTTAAATTTGGCCGAGCAGTTTTAGAGAAGATTTTAGTAAAAGATTACAAAAATTTACGAAAAATGGTTAATAAAATTGACTATAAAGGGCAATAACTCCTTAAAAGGTCAATTGACAATTTTGGTCCTGTCGACTTATTTGTAGGTCTTACTTTGCTGAACATTATTTCTGTTTACAGTTTATCTCTATCTCTAATAATATTCAAGATAATTACCAAAAACTGCAAAATTTCCCTAAAATTACCAATTCAGGGGCAGCAACCCAACAACAGGTTGTCTGATTTGTCTAAAAATTTCATAGCAGATAGAACTTAACCTGGTGAACGTTTTAACCCCACGTCAGATTTGCTCTGAATGCTTTAGTCTCAGAGATACATGTGTAGGACTCGGAACCGCGATGGTACTCCGAACTGCGATGGTCACGCCGAAGTGCGATGGTCCATGCTGATGTGCGTTGGTTAACACGCTGAAGTGCAATGGTCCATTGTGACACTAACTTGTTGTTAGATATGCTGAAGTGCGTTTGGTGGATACGCTGAAGTGCGATGGTCTAACTGTGACGTGTATACTAGCTAAATGCAATGGTCTGAAGTTGAAATCCCATTTTTAAATGTGGCGGTGTAGTGGTTAATGTGCTAGCCTCGCGTTTGGAAGACTGGGTTTTCTGGTCAGGTCAAAATAAAGACTTTAATTTTTAATTTGCTAATGTTTTGCTTAGTATACAACAGTATGAGGCAGAAAATAGACTGGATGGCTCAGATTAAGTATAATGGATTCAAGTTGGGGGACATTGTTTTTAAAATGAGCATTCAAGTGCGATAAAATAAAAAAAACGGGTATAGCACAGCGCTCTTTGTAGTACTAACTAAGCAGGATACATTTAATTTTATCAAATATACTAGTAACTTGTTCTTGTCATGTCAGTAGCTACGAAATTTCTCACAACACTCATGCATCTATTTATTTAATAAATCATAACAGTTTTTAAGAAATAAAAACTACCGATTACATTTATGCTTGACATATAGTGAGACATGACGCTTGTTCTGTCATTAGCTTGAGAATTAGCTGATTTTTCGCTAAGCAGCAGAAACTGAGAATTACAACAAGTTGGCACCATTTGGGTTTCTTTTGGCCTAACCCATAGCAGAATATTAATACTTTAAACAAAATAAAATAACCAAGATTGCCCGTTTTCTTACAAAGCATGCCGGACTCATTTCGAGAATAAAACAAAATTATCGCTACTTGATATAACGAAAACATTGCTAATATTAATTTATTATTTTAAAAGTTGTCCACACAAAATCATGTGATGTTAACTTGAGGAGAAGTCAAATTTTATATAAGACCAAGACATGCTCAAAACTGTTTGGGACTTAAATCGTTCGTTTCATTCTGTTTCCTTTCCTTCGTACGTACGAAACCTTCATCTACAAATCTTATTCTCCTGCCTGTGAATCCATTTGTTTCATAACGTTGTATTTGAAAACGTCACAATATCAAACGTCATGCAAAATCATCGCACTTCATCGAAAGGACCATCGCACTTCGACGTGGACCATCGCACTTCGGCGTGGACCATCGCACTTCAGCATCCCCATCGCACCTCCGAGTCCTACACATGTATAAGCCAAAAACTGCATTTTACCCCTATGTCCTATTTTTAGCCATGTTGGCATGTTAGTTAGCAGGAGAGGTCATCTGACACATATTTCTAACTAAATATCCTAATGATGTTTGTGGCCAAGTTTGGTTCAATTTGACTCCCTAGTTTCAGAAGAGAAGATTTTTGTAAAAGTTAACAGCGACGGACAACGACGACAGACGCCTTGTGATGAGAAAAGCTAATAAACAGCTGTGCCACGAGCGCATGATACACCCGTCGTCTTGTGTGTGAAGTTTTATGCAATAATCATAAATAGTTTCTGAGATACGGCGCGACATGTGAAAACCCCCCTTTTTTACAAAAAACTCAATAACTCTAAAATAAAATTTTGAATCATCACCAAAAAGTATACAGATCTTAAGATTAATATAAATAAGTAGTGTGTAAAGTTTTAAGTAATAATAATACATGTTTTTTGAGATACGGCGCGACATGTGAAAAAAACACACCCCTGTTTTAGCTATAAAGTCTTGTAACTACGAAAGTTTAAATCTTATTTTCACCAAAAAGTATGCAGATAGTTTGACCATCATAAGAAACAACTATGTTAAGTTTCATTAAATTTGGATAAGTGGTTCTCAAGTTACAGTGCGACATGTGGACGCCAGAGAGACAGACAGACAGACAGACGGCCGGAATCCGGACATTTGTATACCATAATATGTCCCGTAAAAATTTTGACAGGCGTATAAAAATGACTAAAAAATCAAAGTATTTAATCATTTTAATGTTCTAATGATCTAATCCATCATATAAAATCCATATGACCCTTGAATGAAGGGATGAACAAAAGCGGTTATATACATGTATAATTGGATCTCTGAATCTGTCATGATTTATAATGCCAATCTTTGGGCATCAACTTACCATCAAGTTATTTTAATAATCATGATACTTTTTGAAATTTGAAGTCATTCAAAAATGTTTAAATTATACCAAAAGTTGAACTAGTATTTGATATAAGGTAATATCTGAGAAATGGACTAAACGAGACAAGGTTTTGTGGTAAATACATGTACCTTGAAAGTTGTTATTGGCTTTGAACTAGCTGTTAGCAATTGGGAGTACTCTCAAATCTATACTTAGTCTTTTTAGTTTTGGGGATGTATAAATCTGCTTTAAAAGCCCTTTTCACACCAATATCCCAGCTAAGGTGGTTGGTTTAGCACCACAAACTACTAGTCTAGCCCCACCACAACCTTTTGAATGCGTCTGTCTCATGTCAGAAGCCTGTTAGTGTTATTCAGTGGTTCAGTTTGTCGTTTGTTGCTGTTTATAATATTTTGTTTTTTTGGTTCTGTTTTTTATTTATTACATTGTATAAATTAGTCTGTTAGTTTTCTGGTTTGAATTGATTTACAAATTTGTGATTCTCATATAGGGTCTTTAAAACCTGACTATGCGGTATTGGCTTTGCTCATTGTTGAAGGATGTACAGTGACCTATTGTTGTTAACTTCAATGTCATTTGATTTCTGGTGGAGAGTTGTCTTTTCTCATTGGTGTAAACAATATTTTATTTTGAAAATAATTACGTAATTTAAACATTATTATCATTACAATATGACAGATTTATTAGGATTGAAAAACAAGTGAATTTACACTTTTAAAAATTCCTCTATTTTTTCTCATTGGCAATCACCACATTTTCTTATTTTTATATTTACATTACATACATGTAAAGCAGACCTTTCATCTTCTCGAGGAGTCCACTTCCTATGTACAACCAGGGGGCCCAAACAGCATCATCATGCATGATTTTGAGTCAGCTAAAAAAAAGAATCAAATAGATTATGATACAATAAATTAATACATAAATTACATAATAATTTAATAATAAATAATGAATCTACAATCATATTTTAAGAAGTGAAACATCATTTTAAATCAATAAATATCATATATTAAATTTCGATTTTTTTGTATCAGTGTCTTCTAATTTCTGGGTAGATAAGTAAATACGGGCGAGTTGGCAGACCTTTATTTTTTTTATATTCTATATTCATTTGGATTTTACCCAAGTTAGGCGAGTTGCCATTGTTGACAGGAGTATATTTTACGGATTTAACCCTTTTCATAAGTGGGGCAATTTTTTTTAAAAGCGGGGCGAGTTGGTAAGGAAGCCACCACTTGATTTTTATGGGGTGGGGGCTAGGATAAGAATGTTATCCTGAATTTTTTTTTTAATTGAAATCTCTGTCCTGCCAGTTAATTTTTCACTATTTTCGTTCCTGGTAATTCTTTACATAAATCCTAGCTTTTTTTAACTTATAAGTGGAAGCAGGACAAATCGCCCCACTGGCAAATCGCCACACTTTTTCACCAACTCGCCCCACTTTTAAAAAAATCGCCCCAAACTGGTTTACTAACTCGCCCCACTTTTTAAAATATCGCCCCACTTGTAAAAAGGGTTAAATCCCGTTAATATTACTCCTGTCAACTCGCCCCACTTAATGAAAAACGGTAATATCTAGATGAATATATAATTTTCATGTCTGCCAACTCGCCCCACTTAATGAAAACTAATCTACACAGAATACCAGTGCAAGCAAGCCCGCACTAACCAAGCCATCCTATTCAACATGTGGGAGCAGTATATCAAGTTGCAGGCAGCATATCTACAACCAGACTCTTACGCCAGTGTGGTCGTGTCAACGGTCCAGTCGTGGAAGCAGACAGCTATTGAACTTTCTAATGACAATGTATTCATGTATTCATGTGCTTGTTTTTAGTGCTGACATTTCATCTAGTACTTCTTTTTTATGTTATCATGCCAGTGCTTGTCATAATTGATTTAATGTATGTTTGTTTAAAATGTTATTGTTATGCATACTTACGTAGATGTGCAGACCTATCATCTGAGAATAAAATTATGTAAACACACATGATTCTTGACTTATCTTATAAAACATTGAATATATTTACCAGGAAAAAAACATCACATAAATGCTGATGCTACTTTCTTTCTGTTTTATTTCAACCAAAAGAAAAGAACAAAAAAAAAGATGCATTTCTAACGTTTTCATAAGTGGGGCGAATTGGAAGGCCTACACTCATTTGTTGACATGACTCAATATTAGGATTTTCCTATTTTTATACGACCGCAAAAAAAATTTTTGTGGTCGTATATTGGTATGACGTTGGCGTCGTCGTCGTCGTCGTCCGGCGTCGTCGTCCAAATACACATTAGTTTTCGCACTCTAACTTTAGTTTGAGTGAATGGATCTCATTGAAATTTTACCATAAGGTTCAATACCACAAAAGGAAGGTGGGGATTGATTTTGGGGGTTATGGTACTAACAGTTAAGGAATTAGGGGCCAAAAGGGGCCAAAAATAACCATTTTTGTAACTTCCAGACATAACTTGTGTGTAAGTGTATGGATCTCTCTGACATTGTACCACAAGGTTCCATATCACAAAGGGAATGCTGGGATTGATTTTGGGGGTAATTGTCTCCAAATTTTAGGAATTAGGGGCCAAAAAGGGGCAAAAAACAAGCATTTTTCTAGTTTCATGACAATAACTTGTTTGTAAGTGTATGGATCTTTATGAAATTGTACTACAAGGTTCCATATCACAAAGGGAATACTGGGATTGATTTTTGGGGTAATTTCCTCCAAATATTAGGAATTAGGGGCCAAAAAGGGGCAAAAAACAAGCATTTTTCTAGTTTCATGACAATAACTTGTTTGTAAGTGTATGGATCTTTATGAAATTGTACTACAAGGTTCCATATCACAAAGGGAAGGCTGGGATTGATTTTGGGGGTTTTCCCTCAAAATTTTAGTAATTAGGGGCCATAAAAGGGCAAAAAAAACATGCATTTTTCTAGTTTCAGGACAATAACTTGTGTGTAAGTGTATGGATCTTTATGAAATTGTACTGCAAGGTTCCATATCACAAAGGGAAAGCTGGAATTGAGTTTGGGGGTAATTGCCCTAAACGTTTAGGAATTTGGGGCCAAAAAGGGGCCAAAAAACAAGCATTTTTCTAGTTTCCAGACAATAACTTGTGTTCAAGTGTATGAATCTCTCTGAAATTGTACTGCAAGGTACCATACCACAAAGGGAAAGCTGGGATTGAGTTTGGGGGCGATGAATCATAAGGGGGTTCAAAAAATTGGGGGGGGGGGGGATTTTTTTTTTCCTTTTTTTTCTTTAACATTTTCCATTTTAAATTGGTTATTTCTGATTTATATATAAAAGCAAATAATAATGATATGGTTTGAATAGGCATACATGTGAACCTCCCGACGGGAGTACAATAATCCCCTTTTTCAGGGGTCTCCTCCCGACCTCCCGTTGAAAAAATCCCGTGTATGAAATTTTTCATGAATGAAAAATTTCTGCCCAACATAACATCTCAGGCATCTGGTGTAACTGATATTACCTGAAGTTATATTTTACCTGTAAATCAATTAACATGCATAATTATATGGCTTCACTTGTCAGCTTGGGTGTCAAACATACTGGTAAGCAACGATTTTTACCTCAGGCTAACTGCCGTTGTGTAACAAAAACTGTGTATTTATTGGGTTACTTCCCTTGATTTATCCTGTTTTAAGTTACTTTCCTTTTAATAATGAAAATTTTTAAAAGAATATAAATAAAATATAAATTGAACAAATAATCATAAAAGGATGGTTATCAAATGATTTTAAATGTCTTAGGACAAATAAAAAAATAATAATTTGAAAATTATTTGAGGATTCTATACTTCCTTTTAAGGCTTAAATTGAAATTTATATAATAACTATGACCCTAACTTTACAGATAGAATGAATTTCTGAGTTTGCAAATAAAAACTATTTGCAAGAGAAAAAAAAAAAATTAAAAACTATTTGCAGACAGCTAAACAAATGTTCTGGTTGCAATGATTGTTTTATAGAATATGAAGTAAAAAATTTAAAGAACATACTGGAAAAAAACAATGTTAGATTGAACATGTAGAATATAAATATGGAGAAACTTTATAAGTACAAGGGTACTATAAACATAATAAATTGGTTGGAAAGTTGAAGAAAACACACTTTAAAAGACCATTTTTACAGCACACGGTTACATTTACAACAAAATTAATGTCGATTAAAAACCTCCTGATCTGAGTCCTAATCTCCTGACCAAAATTTCCCAATCTCCTGATCTGAGTTTCACAGTCCATCACATGTATGAATAGGTAAATTGAAAATTTTTAAGTTCTTAGTCCACTTTCATTCTGTGTCAGAAACCTATGCTGTGTCAAATATTTAATTACAATCCAAATTCAGTGCTGTATTAAGCTTGAATGTTGTGTCCATACTTGCCCCAACTGTTCAGGGTTCGACCTCTGCGGTCGTATCAAGCTGCGCCCCAGCGGAGCATTTTATTCATAAGTGGGACAAGTTGACTTAACTCAATTCATCAGGATTTTTCTATTTTTCACAAGTGGGGCGAGTTGACATTCACGTCACCGAAATACTGATACTCACTTCTTACTGCTTTATTTAAACAAAAAGAAAAGAATTACAAAAGATGTTTATCCAAGGTTTTCATAGGTATTGATTTTATTTATAAGTGGCAGGAACATATACAACGGGATAGCATCTTTTTCCATAAGTAGGGCGAGTTGGCATTATTAAATTCATCGTGGTTTATCTATTTGTCATGAGTGGGGCGAGTTGGCAGACCTTATTTCAGCGGGATTTTAACCCTTTTCATAAGTGGGGCAAGTTATCCAACCTATTTTCAATGGGATTTTACCCTTTTCATAAGTGGGGCGAGTTGGTAAACAAGAGTGGGGCAATTTTTTAGGAAGTGGGGCGAGTTGGTGAAAAAGTGGGGCGATTTGTCATGGATTCCTTATAAGTTGACAGAGAATGCACGTCGTTTCGTAACCTGGTCGTTTCGTACCTGGTCGATTTGTAACCACGTTGTTTTGTAACTGAGACGTTTCGTAACTTTTGTGATTAAATATGGTTCAAAAGTGTTAGTTTAAATTAATTAGTTTAAATAAAAAAGTTAAAGTTATTATTTAAAAATAATCAAATTGTTCATCTAATAATAACAATATTGTAATATTTTTAATTTAAAATTTTCTGAAATCTTTTTAATTATTGGCTAATTGGCTAATTGGTAATTACACTCGGTGACAGCTTTAATGGTTTTATGACAACTAATGACAGGTAATAAAAAGTAATTACAGTAGGTGTAAAGTGATTAAGTAGATTAATGGCACACGACCTGAAAAAAATAATTATTTTCTCCTTTTTTTTCACTTTTACATGCAATTGCATAACCCTCCTCCTTTTTTACCCGGGCTGGGGACCGGCGTTAGCTTGTTGAAGGCAGTACTGATATGCTCCACTGGTAGGAATGGTAAGGCCATCAACTTACGTAAAAATTTAAAAGTGTTGCCCTTGGAATTGTATGAAACTACCAAGCCTGTCTTTTGGATTTTACGGAAGATGGCTTGACTCCAGTGAAATGCACAACCTTGGACGGGGACTCCTGGAAACAGACTGTGTAGAGCATTCCACAGGCCACGTTCAAAGTCTGCTTGTTTTCATACAGATTGGAGAGAATGACATCTGTGATAAATTATCTGCATCACACACAGCATCAGAGATTGTACAACTCGCAAAAGATGTCAAGCGCTTAGGTGTTCCTTCTGTAGTTATAGGCTCCAACATCGTCAGACTAAAAACAAGAAACATGAAAGAAACAACTTATGATAGAAAAAAAAGAAGATAAATAAAGAACTAAGCAACATAAAGATGAGTGATGTCAAGTA